CCTAATCTAGTATTCCTCGACCTCCAAACCTTTATATCTAAAATTATATCTTGTGTAAGATGAAAATGTGCCAAGTGTAAAAAAATATTACTAACTAACCTGCTATCACAAATTAAACTAGATCGTTCCACTACCCACTAAAAAGCAAATGGCGGCGGACAATTCTGGTAGCTAAACAACAAAATCTATTGCTAATCTTATTTAAAACAACGAATTATAAAAAATTCCTATCAACTACTACGAGTTATCTAGCGATAGATTAGGAATGAATTTCTAACAAAGTATTACTTTTTTTTTTTTAATTGTCAGTGTATATAACTTAAATCCGAAAAACTCCACAAAATAAAATAAAGATAGGTAAGTGATTAATTACCTGCAGAATCATTGGAATCTTGAACAGCAACACATAGATCTTGAAGAGGATCAAGATCATAAGCAGAAACAAAGGAACAAAAGTAAACACTAAACACTACACTAATTAAAATCAACAAAGCCATTTTCATTCTAATGATAAATAATTTGGCTACTAATCACTAACCACTCAAGAGTTATTATTGGAAATTTTTATAGTAGAGATCAGAGTTATATAGTACTTTAAAAAAAAAAGCAGTCAAGATTTAGTTTCAAGAATCTAATGCTTTTTAAGTTTTCAAGAAAGTGGTCAACATCATCATGAGTGTAATCCGATTGGATTAAAAGTTGGTCAAACTTACTTTTAAGTCAATTTTTTATTTTTAGAAATATTTGACTAATATCAAAATAACTTAAATTAAGTCAAAAATAACTTAAAATAAGTTAAAAATCAAAAATAGATTCCTCCTACTTTTTATTTTTTAATTTAAAAATTATTTAAACTTGATTTTTTATTTTTAACTTAATTTATTTTTTTTAAGTCATACTCGAAAGTCTTTTTCTAACAATATAGATTTTTTTTTCTTTCATATTTTATCTGTGTGGCTTGAAATGAATGAAGAAATGGGTAGTAGGGTACAATGATTTCATAGATAGAAATATCTTTTGCCGACCAAAAAACACATACAATGTCATTATAAGTGAAATTCTTTTTGCACAAGTGAAGATTTTTTTGGCCTAAGTTTAAGTTTAATCTGATTTTAATATAGATATTACACATGAAGAGAATCAAAAAGAGTTTTTGTTATAAAATAATTGAGTCTACTATCAGAGGCGAGTTCGAGATTTAAAGATTGTGGGGGCAGCATTATCTTAACGTAGGCACTAGCAAAATGTTTAATGATGATTGAGAGATAATAATTGTGTCTGATTTATAAAAAGATATGAGCAGTAGCGAAAATATAAATATATAGGTCAAATATTTTGAAATTAATCTGAGATCGCAATTATGGAAGATGTAGGTTCAACCAACTCCCAAGATGCACTTATGTTTGTGAGGGTACACAATTAAATATATATTATACACACAGATATATAAACAAATAAAATTAACAGGTGTACATATATGTATGGATTTGCCAAGAAAATTATCAATATTTCATCTCTTATTGAAATATCTAAAGCAAATCCAATCATATTTTTTGCAATATCCAACAACCAAGATGATAAATAACATGCATGAATTGTCATAATCAATATTTATAAGTTAGAAGAAGCAGGGCCGGCTTTAATATAAAGCAACTAAAGCAAAAGTCTTTAGTCCCCTTAATTATGTAGACACCTTTTTTTATTAGTCATGAATTAAAGATAGAGTAGTTTAAATGAAATCGTAGTACAATACTTTTATTTAAAAAGGGAAGAAATTAATGTTTTAATGATGATTCCAACGGTAATACAGGTAAAAATTTATTTCATTGAACGTACTCCCTTTTTAATGTAAAAATAGCAATATGAACTAAATATTTAATCCAAATCAAAAAACTTATGCGTAAGAGTCCTGACAAATGATTAATATTCAGACAGAAGTATTAAAACAATAGTTTTTCATATATTGGTATTTTTCATTACAACAATTTGGTCCTTTTATTAGGACCAAAAAATGCATTTTATTTAATCATACAAGCATATTTGATACTACTATTACATGATCATTAAGGTGACTCAAAGTCTATCATCATTGATCCACCATCCTCCTCATATTTGGACTCATATATATAATCAGGATCAGGATCAGGTTCACCGGTTATGTAATCTTTCTTGTTTGGCTGATTAGTGACAGAATTAACCTCATTATTGGTATATTTGTTGGGTTGATCACCATAAGTAAGTGTGGTAAGGACCATTAATCCAAGGAACATGTTTAGCGAACATTTGGAGGGTGACATGTTTGCAATGTTAATGTGTTTTTGTTAAACTAAAGTTCATTGTGGTCTTCTTTATAGTATCTTGTCTTGATAGGAACATGAAATTTGTGTGATGTTTTGTTTCCTTATATTGAGGAATTCACTATATAGATATGAGAAGAATAAAGTGTAAGGACAAAAAATACTTAACCGCAATCAGAGCTTAAATTAAATTGCTAAGTAATTTTAATCGTAAGAGTCACGAATTAAAATTATACCTTAAAAAAAAGCAAAATTATTAAGTTATATATGGCCTATAGCAGCGGAGGTAGCAATAGCATCAGGCACTGCACATTTTAATTTGAATGAATTAAAATGAACTAAATTAATAAATAAATCATTGTTCAACTTTGCACAAAAATTCTTTGGGCAGAGTGAGAGTGCATAATGACAGTAATAAAACTCGTTGGGCGGAAATTAGTTGAGTCAAACAGATTATTAATGACTTAGAGCTCAGCTTCGCCCAACTTTTACTAAGTTTTAATTTAATATATATTCTTATAATTTGGTTAACTACCAAATCCATTTTTGTCTTTATTCACATATCAAATAAATAAATTATTTTAATATACATAAATGATAAATAGAAAAGCGATAGGAACTAGAATAAATAATGCAATAGCAATAAATGCAAAATTTCATTGTCAAATTGGGCTAAGGTTAAATCAACCCCATTTTTAGGTTGACTATGTTATTCTTGCAATCAAGATATAAACAGAAATGACTATAATGAAGGGAAAAAATTATTGACTACAGAAAATTGTTTTCTTTAAGAATTTAATCCATTCACACTTGCTTAAGGTTTGGATTAATTTCTCCCAGGATAGAATGGAACATTGTTTTAATATATTGAAATTGTAAAATTTCAGCGAACGCACCAAACAAAATAAATCACATGATACTTATTGTTTTTCTTTTTGAAAACTTTATGCAAAGAAGAGAAGAAAAGTTTAAATTTGAAGTAAAAGATTTTATTTTTCGATGTATCAAATATGGCGAAGCCTCTAAAAATTTATAATCATCAATAGATGCGAAGGAAACGGAAGGGAAACTTTTCATTAATTGAAGGGAAGTGACTTTTTGTTCAAAGGGAACATGTTCGTTCTATGTGAATTTCAAATAATTTTGTGAATTAATAAATTATTGTTAATATTAGAAAAAGGAAATTAATTAGTAAAAATGAAAAATTAATTTTATTCAAAAAATTTATCAATCAATCACATTATTTATCGAAATCAAACATCTTACTTTTCTATAAAAGAAAAGTGATCAAGGCTACGCCCATCAGGTCAAACATCTTACTTTTCATCTTATAATTTCTTTGTTGATCCTGATATATTAATTTAAAATAAGCAGACATTTCTATTCAAACGATATAAATATTATAGTAATATACTTCTTTGGGCCGGCAAATTTGAAATATCAATACATATACCCATAGTTATCCACAATGATTTCTTTTGTTACTAAAATTTCAAAGTTTTGACCAGTATGGCTTTTTGTTTGATAGTTCAATATTGACTATACATATTTATTTATCATATAATAAAACAAAACGAAAGAGGAAAACTATGGCTGTGAAAGCATAACGAACATTGGTTATTGCATTTTAATATTTAAAAAGGGGTCCTTTTGATTCTGGATCCTCATCAAGAGTTTGTTAGGTAAGAAGGAAAATGTTTTCTATAAAAGACAAATAATTTTTTATTTATTTTCTTATGTTCGACATATGAATAAAATATTAAAACATAATATTATAAAAATATTTATATATAACCAAAACAAATAATGATATGAGGTATATTGAAGGGTAGAGATGACACAATCAACGTGGGATGTCATTTGTGGAACTTATTTTACCTACTTTCACTAGATAAGTCATTGTCCTCGTTTTAAAAGAACTTGTTTTTTTTTTATAGAAAATGTTTCGAATTCTTTTCTTGTTTGATCTAGAGCTAAGGGTCTATCAGAAATGCCTCTATCCTACAAAGGTAAGGGTAAAATTTGCATATATCCTATTTTCCCCAAACCCATTTGTGGAATTAGGTATGTTGTTGTTTCCCAAAATTTTTGCAACTAAACATGGAAAAATTGAAAAACACTGTACTTAACACACCCATAAACAGGGGTGGACCCAACCTTTTGCTAGGGGGTTCATCTGAACCCCCTTCGACAGAAAATGTTACTATTTATACATGGTCAAAATTATTTTTTATGTATATATATAGTAAATGTTGAACCCCCTTTGGTTAGTTCGTGTGTTTAGTTCTTCAAATTTTGAACCCCTTACTAAAAATCCTAGCTCCACCACTGTCCAAAAAGCTTAAGTGACTGCCAATACAATAGCATAGGTGAAATTGCATGTTAGTTAGGAGTCGTTAGGTGTGAGGTATAAGATATAATAATCTCATAAAAAAATGCAGGACAATTTAATTCCGTGTTTGATTGGAGGTATTAGGCAGTCCTAAGATTATTTATCCCACCATTTATGCCTTAGTGGTGGAATAAGTCATTCCATATACATAATGAAATAACTTATCTCAGAATGACTTATTCCTGGATAAATTGGACTACCTAATACCTCCAATCAAACGAAGGTTAAAATAGTCATGCATTTTATATGAGATTATTATACCTTATACCTCACACCAAACGACTCTTTTAAGAAACCGGAGGCTACCTGCATTTTCCTTTCTCATAACTCCCAATTAGATCAAAAGCAGAAGAGAATATGATACAATAAATGACATGAGCATTTTGTCCAGCAGTTTACATTTCATAATTTCAAATGAAACTTAGAACCATAACAACAAAGCCCCAACTAAATAACTATACCTCCAAAAACTACATAATTATTGATAAACTAACTTACAATGAAGGTATTTGACCAAGCTTTTCCAGCAACTCGCGCATCATTGAACCCTCCGATACCTATTTCCAGTCCTTGAATCATCTCCTACCTCGACTGTATTGGATGGAGGATTGCCATTCTTAGAGAACTGTGTGGCAGCCGCTCGAGCACCAGCTATTGCAGCAACAAGATTTTCAGATCGGTTGTTTACATCAGATGTACCGGAGCTACTTGGGGAGGAAGCAAGGGATCTTGGCTTCAATGAAAAAGGATCCCGCGGATTTGGAAGGGGAAATTTCACTGGAAGCGGGGGCTCAACTGGAGAAATACCTCGGATTGCAGCTTCATATATCTAGAACACGAATTAAAACGAAAAAAGTTAAATAAATTAACAATGCAACAGGAAAATGAGTTTTAAACAAGGATCAACTACAAGTGGAAATGTCGTAAATCATGTATAATAGGAAAAGATGATAAAGTTTCTCAAATTTTAATACCTTTCTTTCCAAGTTATAAACACCTTGGAACCCTCGCATCTCAAATGGTACGATAAGTTTCTACACGAGTTAAAAGGAAACTAATGATTCTTTTGCTAGAGATAATACGAAAGAAACAGATAACTGACTTCCAGATAAACCAAAATACCTGTGGTTGCTCACAAAGCCAGCAAAATTTTGTTTGTCCCTCTAGCCTTACCTGTAAGCAAAATGTATCGAATAAAATAAGAAAACATATCACACAACAAAACCAAAATACTTGAGGAATAAACTGCGTCAATGGATAGGAACAAAGAGACATTTGAAGCTCACCCCTTCGGGAATCTGATCCCAGTTGACTAGCTCGTCACATGTGACGCATCCAACTACTTCAACACAACCTGTACAAACAAAGAGTTTCAAAAGGTTTTTCGGATGACAATTAAGAACAAGTAATCTCTACGTTCAAGAAAACATAAAAGTGATCACAACTTAAGTCAAAATGAAGATGCAGAAAGTTAGATATCTTTTAGATGAAACCGAAAACCTAGACAGGAACATGTCTACAAATTTCAGATTTATCCGGCTATCGTCGATGAATTTAGTATGACATAAGCAAGAAAGAGCCGTGCAAATGCATTTGTTGATGGTGACTAGATACTGCATAGATTCATAAGTACCAATTGTGGAAAGGAAAAGGCACAATCCCATATTATCTGCCACGGAAATTAGCACCGGATGTCAAAGAGAAGCTTCTAAGGCAGAAATGGAGTACATCTAAAGACACCCCAATGATGAGTAAATTAAAAAACTGGAATTAATTGATGCAATCATGTCAAGCAACAAAATAAGTTGTCAATAAGTTTGTACCCCTCGAGCATGAGTTCTAAATAGGATATTGATCCAGCACTTCAATGGTCTGTTCAAGTAAACACGATATCTTAAGTATAGGAATCTTATCTAACTTTTTATTCCACTCAAAGTAATTTTAGTTCAAAAACAGAGGAAAGGAATTAATTAGTAAGAAAAATTATGTTGCAAGGAGTCTGTCACCTAGAAGTCTTGAAACTGGATAATGCTCAGGAAACTTGAGATCAGTTATGCCATTCACAGCATAGATTTCCCTGTAGAAGTCCTCCATTGCTTTGATAGTTTCTGGTTCTGGGATCTTACTAGCAGCATGAATCCAAAGTCGACCTTCATGAAAGAAAGAAAACATTATAATTAGATAATAAGGAATTGAATTCTAACAAGAAACAGGAAAATGTAAGATTACTCATACAAGTAAGAAAGGGATAAGTAGAGATAAACTCTTGTACTATTGCAGCCTGAAACTAAATTGAACTGGACACAAATGCAATCATACAAAGAGCGAATAGCGGAGAAAATTACGGAAAACAGAATCTACACATTTTGTTTAGCACCAACACCTTAGTGAAACTTTAAATCATATTTACGAAGAATAAAAGTCATGTGTCCCAAGAATACCCCACCATTAGGAGTACATCCATTAGAATATGACAACGTGAAGCAAATAGCGCTAGACGTGGCTTTGCAACATATACACTACCACTAGCTTCTAGAGGTGATTGAGAAGATTGTTTTTTTTTTTTTTTGGCTTTCATCTCACCCACTTTGAGCCATGCATTGCAAGTTAAACGTTGATCCACTGTTGACCCTCTGAAGCAAGAGCCTTTATTTGTCACAAATGCTCCTCATCCGTCCCATTGGGTGCAGGTGGTTCTAATGCCTAGACAACATATTCTTTCTACAGGTGACTTTCTCTAAAATTGCCTATTGACTAAATCCTACTATATGGCCACGTCATAGCCAAAAACTTATACTGCGATCATTGGACTTCATGTAATGGGAGGACGATGACAACCAAAATTAGGAAAGCATTTGAAGAAGTGGCGGAATGGCGAAACTTTCTATCAATAGGCACTTACTGTCTCAGCTGATGCACAGAGAATTAAAAGATATATCTTGGGTCCTACACTCCCACATAGCACATATATTTTGCCATCATCTTTAGAAATGATTTAGTGATATTTGACAAATCAAAAATACTAAGTATTTTGTTGTATGATTTCAGAGGAGCTGCAGTAAAGCAGGCTGGGAGTTCATCTCTTGCCCTACAGATGAGATGATGCATGCATAGCACTGACTGGATAACCATTGAAGGGCAAAAGCACACTGGAGAACTAGGATGTTTAGCCATTCTCTAATTAGAAATAGTTCACAACGAATAGTTCCAATTTAGATCCACCTTCCAAATGCTACCAAAGAGTTTTTCAGGAAGGCTAGGTGACTAGCATCTAAATGGTGAGATTGGAAATTCTGCAGCCATATTGATGGTGGCTTAGAGAGTGAAAGCAGGAACGACATTATGTTTCTCAATAGGTGCTTTGAAGATAAAGAATGACATTAGAGCTTCATTGGATCGGTGGTGAAGCACTGCAATTTTTCCTTTATCAACAAAAAAGAAGTACCTATTGTTCCTTTGTTTCCAAATCAGACAAAACTATGCAAAGGAAAGACCTTCTGGCCTTGTGAACAAACTAGTCCTTTGTAGAATTAATAAGCTGAAACAACAACTACAATAACTTACCCAATGTAGACCTAATCCCTACCTCAGAAATCCGATAGACCCTCTGCTCAAGGAAAAACAGTCCAAAGCAGTCCAGAAAAATAAGTAACGGAAGTGAAAGCATAAAAAAACATTCTGAATGGTAACTACAAAAAATAATATGATAATCGAAGTACTAGAAACAACATATAGTAATAGAAATCAGATGACAAGAAGCTATAGGAGCAATACTATGAATACTAACTGAAAGACAACCTAAATATGCATCGCCACTCTACTAAACTTGAGTTTCAGGTTAGGTGTAGCCATGTAAATCAACATAGTAGTCAAGACGAAAGTACTCTTACGTACTAAGCACAATATACATTAGAGAATGATAATGCTAAAAAAGGAAATCTCCTAATACTCTGATCACTAGATTTCTGGCCAAGCAAAACAAGGATTTTTACACATGATATGCAATCAAAGAGTTACTTCCCATTTCCCAAGGAGTGAATTTACCAAATTTAGAAAGAAAAAAACTACTGTAGCTTTTTCTGATATCAAGCAGTAATGAACCAAATAAAAACCTACACACCACTATAACTAAAATCAACTATAACATGAGACAAAGCTTACAAGTTTACACCCCCCCCTCAAACAATATTTTCTTCTGCACAGTGTACAACAGAACAAGCAACAAAAAGAAAAAGCCAAATACAGAAACAACCCTTCTAAACTTGTCCTCAGTTTTCATTTTGACACTCCATCTCAACCTTGTTTCAACCCCATTCCTCATGTACCATCTAAACACAAAATACTATACAAATGGAATTGGAGGGGAACACAAGAATTAACAAAAACATACCTAATTCAAAAACTAGATGTAACCCCCACCCTAATACTCACCATGCCACCTCATCATCATAATCAAAAAGAGTAAATTTCACCAAATTTAGGGAGTGGGGTTAAAAAGGGCAACTTTCCCAGTTTAGGCTAACAAAGATCATCAATCAACTAGATAATAGAGTAAAGTTTACAACTTTATGACCCCCCACACCCCACCCCCTTGTTAACAAGCAATAAAAAGACAAAGGGAAATCAAGAATTACCTGTAATGGGTGCAGGCCAAGATCTTCCTTCTATGCGTTTGATACCATAAACAAGCAAAGAAGCCCATGGTTGATGCATTGTCAGACATGGATTTCTGTAATTTACATCTCCTCTGTTCCTGCTCCCCATCTCTTCTTCTTCTTCTTCCGATTACTCAGTTTTTTTTCAGAAAACAGGGGAGTTTTATGAGTATTGCTGAGTGCTGATCTTGCCCTATGTCAAAAATCATGTCAAGCAATGATTTTCAAAGAATCTTAGATGCTTGTGTTTAATTTTATTTTTTTTGCCTCTCCTATCTCATAAATATTTAATTTTTGAACGTGTTAATTATTTAATAAAAAATTATAAATCAAAATATTACTAGTATCTATCCGGACTTAATTTATTTGACAAAAGTTCTCACCTTGCTAATAATAATTTGGTAGGAGTTAAAGTTATACTAACATAATTTATGAAATATTATGATATAAATATAAATACTTATGCCGCAAAAATGTATATAGATAAGTTATTTAAACATTATATATGTGTGTGTATAATTATATGATTATGTATAAGGTGTATATCAGTGTAAAAGTGTCTATAAACGTCTCATATACTTGTTATAGAAGGTTGATACATTGTATGAAAGTTTGCATATTCGGACGGAAGCTAAGCTCCCACTCACGACTCATTAAACAAGCTACACCAAGTAAGAAGTGTAGAACGGTTAGTTATTAAAGATCGTTGTATACAAGTTGTTATTGGAAAAAAAGAGAGTTATGTGGGTTTAATTTAAAAGTATGGATAACGTAGATGTAATATCTGTATTGGAATGTATATCTTTGTAAAAGTTTCAATTTTCAAATTAGAATTTCATGTGAGAAAAAATATAATTGCAAAATGTCAAGACACAAAAGCAAATGAAAGACATGTAATAATACAAATCATGTATATATATAAAAGAGAACCTTAGATCCGCCTACGTGGCGTCACCACAAACAAGAATTTCCTTTTAATTTATTTATTTCCAAAACTAGTCTTCCCCTTTCATGAAAAGTTGCCCCTTTCATGAAAAGTTGTGATTTTAATGAATAGTTGCGACTTTTATGAAACGTTGTGACTTTTATGAAAAAATGCGACTTTAATGAAGAGTTGCGACTTTTGTGAAAAAAATTGTGACTTTTATGAAAGGTTGTGACCTTTTCGAAAGGTTGCAACTTTTCGAAATAGTTGCAAGCTTTCTGATAAGGCACAATAAACATTTGTTCACACTACCCTTTGTTGTCTATTAATAGAGGATTTCCTCTCATTTTAAAACAACAAAAATTTTGAACCTCTTCTTCTTCTTCTTCACAATTAAATTAAATATTTGTGTACGTTGCTCATGTTGAGTGGCTCACTGACACCATTGCTTATGTAACAGATCCTGATATGTATTTTTACAGTCATTAATTTATGTTTATGTTATTAAGGATAAATAATAAGGTGTAATAATTTTCATTTTCCTTTACATTATCAATGTTTGTTACTACGTAATCTTGAATGTAAGATAATATAGTGTTTTAGTTTTAATATCTTATAAGGTTTAAGTATTATTTTATAAATTTCATAATATTAAATTCCCGCGCGAAGCACAAATAATTTTACTAGTTAAAAAATAATTAGAAACGACTACTAAATAACATTGCACTACTTAATAAGAAAAAGAGGAGAGAAGGAGGTTAGCCCTCACCTTTAATTTCCTATAAAAAGTGTTATAACTCGATTATCTAGTAATTTTCTACTATAATTATTGACTTTCAAATCTTTCTATCAAGATACAATTATATATGGCGCCGCTTGATCAGAAGGACAATTGGGAGCAATATGCAGGGGCAGACCTACCCTTATGTGTCAAGTGACACCGCTTCGTTGGAAATTACACTGTATATAGATGTTAAATTTTGGTTTAATAAATAAATATATATATATATAATATTAACACCTTTTAACACTAGTTAAATGTTTAGTAAATTGGTTATGACGTTATGAAAATACCTTAAGGTTTATGTGTTTTGGTCCTACTATCCTCATAATTATATTTTTTACTATAACCATTCACACCCCTTATTGACAATCATAAATTTGCTATTGACCTCGCACCTTAGATAATCCTAGGACTGTCACGGGGAAATAGTGTTATTGTTGGAGAGGCTAATAATACCATGTATCTCAAGAGAGAAAATCTCTTAACTTATAAATAATTTTCATCACATAACAATTAGGGATTAATTTGTGTTATCCATTATTGTATACCTAGCATAATGGTCACTATCATATGCTCTTGCATTATAATATTGTCATAACTACACCTTATATATACCAAAAACACCGAACAATCATACTTTATTGCTAAGCCTTAATTTGTTAATTAAAAGATTTGACTTGTAAACATCCAAAAGCTTACCTACTGTCAACTTGGCTCTAATGGGTATTAATTTTCATTAATTATTCTTTTGTGCTTACAAAGGTTGAAAATGACTCCACAAGCCTGACACTTCATTAACACTATTTATAATAAATATTCTTTTTATAAATTAGAGTTCTCGAGTTTAATTCTTAATTGAAAATATAGTCGTCTTTATACTTTATTTGAATGGTTATTACCTATTGTATATATTGTTCGTTTTATTATTTTAAATATAATATGTATTTTAATTATTATTTATATTTAATTGTATCATTTGGTCAGATTTGTTGTAATGTAACAATAAAAAGTGCATTTTTATGTAATGATCAATTTAATATAATCGTATCAGTACCTTATTTTTGTTCTCCTATTGCCCTTATTCATTAATTAATATTTAATAATTTTATTTACTCTACCTTTATTTTTCTTTTGTAATATTATAAATTTAATTCTCCAATTATTGTAAGTTCACACATTATGAAACAACGAATAAAAATACAATTTATTCAAATATTATATTCATCAAAATAATATAATACAATACATTATAAAAGGTATACACAACAACCATCAAAACAAGAGCTAATTTTATTCAAAATATAACTTTTCATAAAACTAATCTGACCCCAAAACAAATACCATAAACTATTTAAATAACCAATATTTTTTATTTTAAAAAAAATAAAGGTCATTGACGGCTAGGAAGTCTTCTTTCTTAATTTTTAAAAAAAGACATCAACATACTATATAGGTGGGTCGTTCTCTCAAGTGAGGCATCTATTCACTCTTCCTAGAGCCGCATATTTTCACTAATAAAAAAAGCAAATTCTTTATAAGTTAACGGTTAAAAATACATCTAAAAATTATCTTTTCGTCAATTTTATATTTTAAATATTCATAATTTGAATAACTATGATACTTTTATTTTTCATCGAATAACTGTAATACTAAGTTGATCTATATGTGTATCTCATTATTGAGAATAAATATTTAATCAATTTAGCATCGAATTATATAATATAAATATATATAATAAATAGTTAAGATATGAAATTTTCGAATAAATGATTTTTTTTTACCATTAATCCATTTTTTTTTCAAACACTAACCCCCTTCACTCACAACCATTAATTCTTCCAAAAAGTTGAAAATTTTGACTTCAATTCCCTCTTTCTTTTTTCTATAATAAGATGCCAATCCACTATTCTACTCCACTTTATTCTTCTTCCTCCTTTACATAATAATGCTCGAATCACTTTTGTGCACACTTAAAATAGTTTATTACCATAAAAGAAATTGTGATAGAGTGAATAAAATTATTATTTTTTAAATACGAGCTCTGGTTCTAAGTTCGAGTTTTGTATATAAAAAAATCATTGTAAAAAAGGGTTTGCCCAACACTACGGGGCGTAAATTTATCATAGTTGGATTTCAATACGGATATAATATAGAAAATAAAAAGTTCATCAAGTACACGTGTCGCTGTATCTTTCTACCAAGAATTGAAAATAAATGGACTTATAGTAGTGAAATATAAACATTCTTGGTTTTGTTCTTGTGCTTCATCAAAATCTTGAAAAAATACAATTTTTGTTGGGTTTTATTAATGTCGAGGAAGAAGGTTATGGATTCTTTTTCTTTAGATGATATAATCAACCGTTTACTTGAAGTTCGTAATCGACCAGGGAAACAAGTTCAGCTATCTGAGGCTGAAATTAGGTATCTTTGTCTTGAGTCTAAAGAAATTTTCTTGAAGCAGCCTAATCTTCTTGAGTTGGATGCACCAATAAAGATCTGTGGTACTTTACTGAACCCCCTTTTTGATTTTGCACTGTTTTGCTTTAATGTAATTTTGAGTTTTTTTGAAGTGGGGTTGAGTTTATTGATGCATTTGTTAAAGTGGGTTGGTTTGATTTTGTATAAAAATTGAGTCTTTGAGTTGTTCTTGGACTTTTTAGAAAGGTAATATTGGTTGTTGACATGAATGAAATGAACTTAATTAGGGATTCATGTGAAGAGGGTTGAGCACCATGACAAAAACATTAGGTGACTTTTTTCCATATGTTTTCTAGTCTTATTGGATAGAGTTATCTGATAACTAAGTGCTAACTCTGATAATTGTTGCTGGTGGGAGGTGACAACTGACAAGTATCCCATGGAATTAGTGGAGGTGTGCGCAAGCTGGCCTGAACATCATGTTAATTAAGAAAAGAATTGGGGATTCATATAGCCAATCTCGACTTGTTTGGAACTGAGGCGTAGTTGTTGTTTTATTTTGTTGGTTGTTTGACAGGAATTTGGTTATGATCTGGTGCTTGAGACCTGCTTTGGTAGTAGTTAGGGACTTATGGTTCATTCTGTTGCTTCAAAATCAGAATTTTTAGTGTATCTGGCTAATAGTTTCATTCAATTGAACCATACCAGTTTTAAAAGCTCTGAAATTAGCCTTTACTTATGATCCTTTCCCTAATTTAGCATCTTGAATAGTTCTTGCTTCATGCTATCTACCCGAGCCAGTGAAAAAAGACTATCTTTTTGGTGTTAAGTCCGAGGGAAGGTAGATGCTCACCAAGAGACAGCTTGATTTACTTCACTTCTAGTCTAATTCCGGAGGGTCTTCAAATGCTATTGTATGGCTGCTGTATTTCTTTTTACTTCAAATTCTCCTCTCTTTTTCTCCCAATGGAGCAAAGTATTATTTAATTGGCTGTTTGGCACTAAGTGAGTGCTTATATGTACGTTGTTTTAGATAACAAAAGCTGAAGGGGACGTCCTGCAGTTTCTGTAGAGTGTGAAGGAACTCAAAAACTCTATCTAGATTGTATGCATCTCTCAAGTTAGTCCAAAAAGCTAATAAGTCCAGTCATTTGTATTTGAGTGTTTGTGGAGCTACTGCTGTTCCTTAAAACAGACGACCCTTCCTTTCCTTCCGATATTACCTGATAGGATGCAGGCACTTATAGACTATAGTACATCAGAGAGTCTTGATGCACTATAATACTGAGCTTTATTTTTAATGCATGTAAATACTCTCCAAATGGGGATGCAACTGATTTATGGAATTCAATTTAAATAATTGTGTGGTTAACCTTTTGCGAGTTCAAAATGCTATCAGTCATCTCGAGATTTACCATTTTTCTGATCATAAGTTTGTCAACTAATCAAGTGCTTATGCGAATTGTCATAATTGTTAACTCTTTTTTGGGGAACAGATCTTCCATAAGTAGCATACGTTCTTTTAGAAAATAAGTAACAATTGTGTGAAAAATGATTAACTAAATTCAAAGTGATTCATTCAACTGGTATTTTCTGTCTTGCTGTTATGAAATGGAAGTAAAAGCACTGGCTACAAAATACACTGACCTATTCTTAGACAGCAATTGATCAGTGTGGTTCGATGTCCTTAATCCCTGTGCATTAAACCATAAGAAAAGACTTGATCAGAGTGTTGGAGCATTTTCGAAGTCACTTTTTGAGGGGTGAGAATAAAATTATGCCCCCAAGGCTAGGTGGTGTTTGTTTGTTTCAGGCCAGTACATAAAACCATTAGAAAAAGCTAAATCAGAGTGTTGCTTCCCAGGCTAGGCGGTGTATAGTTTGGGTTGTGGGATGTCTACCTCATACCAACTTTAATGGTCTTATATAATCAGAACAAAACCAAATAAGGAGTATTAAAAAAGGAAAGTTGTGTTCTTGTAGTTTCTGCTCAGTTTCTTTTCGTTTACCAGTATTTACGAACTCTTTTTCTCTTCTAACATCACATTTTGTTTAAAAGTGAACATTCAACAAAGAGATTTAGAAAATGAAAAAGAGAGAAATATACTTAGCAATTGGAAGTCATTAAGAACATAGTATATGTTAAGAGTATCTACTTTGTGGTTATTAATTTACAAAATGAATACCAAACAGAACTATTAGCTTTCACGTGTGAAAACCAAAATCAAGTACCCAGAAAGTGCAGGTCTGCCTAATACTGAAAAGGCTTGTGAAAGGGGGTTTCTGAATGGCATGAACAGATACTATGAATACTATTTGTCCATTTTTCTCTTCTTATTATCTTCTTCCTAGTAGAAAACCTCGTAAATCCTTCCTCACCAAGAACAATGTCATAGCAGTCTAACTTCAAGAATTTTGTTGAAAGTTGAATCATCCATATCTGCATCCCATATCTAACTGAATCTGTCTGTGAAAGCATCAGTTCATCATTCACAAGTCACTGAGACTGCACTTTTGTACATTTCGTCTGCCTGAAAGTGCTTTCTCAGAAGATTCAAACTCACTATATCCAACTTTTGCTCATATCATTGCTTCTAATTCTCGTTCTTGAGGCACCAACATTTGGTTGTATTACAACCTTTTAAGATTAAAATACATGCTGAAACATTCTTGCTATTTCTCGCTCTTGCCCCTTTTTTTATGGTGAAGAAAACATGACTTCCTATCTAATTCTTTTCATGGTGCCATATTTGCTAGGGGATATTCATGGTCAGTATTCTGATCTACTGAGGTTATTCAAATATGGTGGATTACCTCCTAGATCCAATTACCTATTCTTGGGCGATTATGTGGATCGTGGGAAGCAAAGTCTGGAAACAATATGCCTTATGTTTGCATATAAAATAAAGTATCCTGAGAACTTTTTCCTTTTGAGGGGAAATCATGAATGTGCTTCCATTAATCGTATATATGGATTCTATGATGAGTGCAAACGAAGGTTCAGTGTTCGATTGTGGAAGATATTCACAGAAAGTTTTAACTGCCTGCCTGTGGCAGCTCTGGTTGATGAAAAGATATTGTGCATGCATGGTGGACTCTCCCCCGACCTTCATCATCTTGATCAGATACGGAACCTCCATCGACCAACTGATGTTCCAGAAGCTGGACTGCTTTGTGATCTTTTATGGTCAGATCCTAGTAGGGACGTTAGAGGGTGGGGAATGAATGATAGGGGTGTTTCCTACACATTTGGTCCGGATAAGGTGACAGAGTATCTTCAGAAGCTAGATCTTGACCTCATTTGCCGTGCCCATCAGGTTTAAACTGAAAATGACTTCCAGAAGTAGTCGTTTTTTCTTTCCTTTGTTTCTTTCTTTTCGGAGTTTTGTTTTTTAAATTCTATTGGTTATTTGTACTTAATATAGGTCGTGGAAGATGGGTACGAGTTTTTTCGCTGACAGACAGCTAGTGACTATATTCTCAGCCCCTAATTATTGTGGAGGGTTTGACAATGCTGGTGCCGTGATGAGTGTGGATGAGACACTGATGTGCTCTTTCCAGATATTAAAGCCTGCAGAGAAGAAGCCTAAGTTTGGATTTGGAAGCACTACTAAAAATGGAATTTCTCTGACCAAAACTAAGGTAACTTTTTTTTTTTTACTGAAAACTTTTTGTTATGCAGAAAAAGCAAGACGTCGTTAGTTTATTGATCCAATTGGTTTGTAATATTGTTTTATTATTATGAGAAAGAGAAATCACCATCCACAAAAAGTTCGGAGGTCTAAGTATAATGTTGTAGTATAAGTACTTCAAATGATTTTAATCCTAAACACAACTCCGGGAGGATTAGTTGTTGAACATTGAATCACTTTGGACGTGTAAGATATGGGATGCTGGGTTGGGGTTTGATTAACTCATTGATCTTTCTGTATTTGAAGTACTAGGCCCCGCTTTCAGTGTCTAGGTTACACAAGTGTGTTCCGAGTTCCAACATGATGATCTGTTTGGATCTCGATCCATGATCGTCATTTTATTAGTTCTGATGACTGGATCTATTTGCATCACTACATAGCCTTCGATAACCCCTTAAGTTCTTTACTCTTCTCTCGGTCTTCCTGAATCCACAGTTCCAACTTTCTAAATCACGCTAGGTTAAGAAAATAAAAGATTCTCGTTGTTCTTACCAAAATCACATTTTATCAGCCTTGAAGAGTATGCAAGCATTTTGGAAATCTTTTCCCCAGTCATTAATATATGTCTTAGTAGGAAACACTTTGCAATTCTCGCGATGTTGGATCAATAACGTTATGTGAATCATCGCCATGCAGGCTACTTCAGGAATTTCTGTACAAGTCATCTTAGGATCCGATTAAAGTTACTCCTATAGTTTTTTTTCCTGCATTACATGTCTTGTGATCTCAGTTTCCTAATCCAGTCAAGGTAGTAATAACGAAATCGTGTTAGTTTCATTCTGCTGTTGGTTCTTTCTATTCTTTTCAATGCCCTCATATTACTGCTTAACATTAACATCTAATTTTTTTGCAGTCATTTCTGGGTAAAATGGGATGAAATAAACCCAACGCTTCATTCTTATCGATCACCTCAGGTAGCTCCGTGACATGAATCCTTGACAGATGTTTGGCTCGGGTTGGAATCATCGAAGAAGAGTTTGAAGACGAAGATACCTAAGCATGATAGGCATTTAACAGTTCTGATTGTTTTGTTTTGTATAATATAAACCAAAATCTGGTGAACATAATGACTTCTTATGAGTCACTCACCAGCATGAAAGATTTACTAACCCTTTCAACTCTTTTATTTGTGTAAAATTAGGGGTGTAAATGAGTCGGGGCTGTTCGTGAACTAAAGTTCAGCTCAAGCTCGTTTAATGAAACGAGTTGAGCTGAACTTGTGCTCGCCTTTCATCTTGAATAGTAATCGAGCTGAACTCAACAAAACTCAGGCTTGTTTGTTAGTTCATAAACATTTTACATTTCAAAGGTATGTACTCTATCCGTTTTTGTCATCTCCATCTGGTGTTCAGTACCCATATTAAAAACCGACTAAATCAAGGGGATAACAGTCCCCCTAACAAAGGCGATTATGTATTTAATGGAATTTGAACTTGAGATTTTTAAATACGTACCTCATGCGTACGATTTATAGTTATCAAATTTGTGGGTCAAAAATCCATTTGATATAGGTATGGACATTAAATAATTTTGGCTAATTCAGCTGACTTTTGACTTTTACAATTAATGTATTTAATTTCTTGTCTTCAACAAAATATCTTAGACATAAAAAGTACGTGGTAGGGGAAATATATTTTAGGAAAATAAGTAATTTTTTTATTTTTTATTTGTATTTGTGCAATATACATAAACGAAAAATATATAATATAGATAAATTAGATGAACAGTAGGGGTTGGAGTGAAAACAAGTTTCACAAAGTTATTTCACATTAATTGTGTCCTCTCTCGTTTTCACCTTTAACACATGTTATCTTTACTCTCACCCCTGTTGCCCTATCCCACTACCCTGCACCGTATGTACCTCACTTTCCATAGGTTTATCTAAATTATTACGAATATTTTTAAGATAATTATATTTTTTACTTACATACTACTTTTGTCCTTATTTACTTGTCAAATATTTTCTAATTTGATGTCCCTTTTTACTTGTCATTTTTATAAATTAAAAAAAGATAATCTATTTTTTCCTATTTTGGCCCTTTTGTGGGCTTTTATCGAGGAAAGCAGGCTTGATAGGGCCAAGTCTTCATTTGTAGGACTTTGATGGTTCATGTCATTCATGTAGGCTTGGGTCTTTCATTCGGGCCCTATTGGGGCACCCTGTGGGCCAATGCGTATAAGCTTGGGCTTTCTTAACGTGGCTCATTTGACGACTCAGTACATGGATGTCACGAATCTATTGGCATAGAATATGGAATCTTTTCTACGTAAGCTGGTTGTGCAAAGTTTGTTTGTTCATACAGGCAGTGTGATTTTGGGATCTTTTGTTTGCTCCGCAAGGTAGTCAGAGCTAGCCAGTTTTTCATTAAACAGGCATGATAGTCTTCAACTGCACAACTTATACCCTCAATTTATGAACATTGAGTTAATTTTTTGAAAAATGTAGTGAGCAGTGTTTTCAAAAACGTTTTTGGAGCTAGTTTCGGGGCGGGGCGTACCAAAAATGCTCTGGGGCGTAAATTAAAGACGTAAGTTCTATAATTTGAGACGTAAGCTCGAGCATAAAAACGTAAGTCCTGGGCATAAAAACGTAAGTCCTGGACGTAAAAACGTAGTCCCAGTCGTTTTTAATTTATTTTTGTGAACCTTTTTTGCTTTAAATCATATTTTTTATTATTGGTGTAATGATATTTCTCAAATAGTAATTATAATACTTTTTTTACATTATGATTATTAATATTTATCTCAAATAAAAATCATAATATAATTTCTATTCATTATAGGTTATTTATAAAAAATTATTTGTAAAATCATTGTTTACTTTTGCTTATTTTATTAGTAATAAAATAATAAAATTGAATATACAAGAGTCTATGCCTAGTAGATCCATGAGACTTACGCCTTGCTTCGTACTGTATAAAATGCCTCGCCTCACGCTCCCGCCTTTTAAAACACTGATAGTGAATAAATAAATTTGAAATTTTGTCAATTAATAAGGTTAAAATGATAAACTGCCTTTACCAATCAAGTAAAAAGGAACGAAGGGAGTATTAAACATTTTTAAAAAAAAAAATTGTAAAAAATATTTTCCTTCTTACCCAACACAACTATAGAGTATGATAAAGATTATTAACTAAAGCATGATTTCGTTGATTATTTTTTTTCTTTCTTTTCCCATTTGTCTTTCCAATTCAACTTGAAAGATGCTCCAAACTAGAAATTTGCTCCATCATGGGAAATTAAAAAAGGCTTGACTGCCTACTAACTGAATACTCTAGTCCTCGACTTCCATTCTCTCTTATCTAGTTATTCTAAGGTTATGTATTCGATGAACTGAAGATATGACATTTACTTTTATCTAATCATTAATTCTCGGTAATTCTTTTTCAATATAATACGTACCTCTATTTTTCTCAAATCTATCAGTGTCGACGTAACCTCTCGCAGCTCCGCACACATCTATCAGCATATAACATGATAGAATTTCACGCGTCAAACTTCAAACTTCAAACTTCGCCGTATCAGAGTATTTTTGTAATGTTTTAACTAGATGTATTTTTTATCTAAATTTTACTTCGATAATAATAGTTGATTATTTCTCAATTACATTTCAACGACACTTAGTCTTTAAGTACCGATCCAAAAAATGGCTAGCACACCTAATTTTGCCGTTATTTTTGACATCACTATAGAGTCATGACTAAATTTAAAAAAATGTATCTACATTAATTGATCATTGATGAAAATGGGAATAAGTCAAGAACATTAAAGTGAAAGCTAGTATATAGCTGGGGTAAGGGAAGGGATGAAGAATTTGACTAAAAAAGTCTTATTTTCATATTTTTTTTTGTTTGTCTCAGTTTTTTGATAATCGTATTAGAATTTGACTGAATTTGATTTTGCATATTACATAATATTTTTTATTTTTAAACATTTGAACATGAAATCACTGATTAAAAGTAAAGGCATTTCGATCATTTCATCACCACCTAAATGACTCAAGTTGACTAAAAGTCTATATAAATCTACATGTGAGTAAAGACAGGGGTTTTTCCAATTTCCCTTTAGCATTTAATTTGTTTCCATCTCTAAGTTTCTTCTTTTACTGGAATTCAAAATACCGTGGAATTTTGGTACATTTTGGGACCATTAATGTTAGATTTAGAGTCTCTTAAAAAATTAGAAAAAAATGAATTTAGATGACTTTTAAGTTAAAAAATAATCGTAATAGAAATAGTATTTACTTAGCATTCGTTATCCTCATTGATGAGGGTTTAATTCTCCTTCGACACTTCTAATTAAGTATTTTTTCTTAAATTTGAAATTATCAAAAACTCATAAATTTTATATTCTAAATCCGTTTAAATAGTACTATGTCTTTCTATCTACTTTGAGTTGTCTTTTATAGCTACTATTTTTTACTTTTAGACACCATTGGTTCCCATACCTTGCTTTATCTCAATTTTCCAATCCCTTTCTCCATTTATTTCATTAATATTTTCAACTTAAGTTCGATGTATTAATCTTGTTCGTTTTGATTCGATCTCTTTAAGTTATATATCTCAAATACTTTTAGACCTCATAGTTATGTCTCCTTATATTAGACTTGGTAAAGTCGTCTCTAACAGTTAAATTTTGACTTAGCACTCATTTTCATGGATATTATTGTTAGTATGTTACCTTATTTTTCTTCACAATTCTAGCAATTCTCTTTTGAAAAAATTATTTTAATAAAGTGCTTATAAAAATAAGTAGTTTTTAGTCAATTGGCGAAACAGACTTTGACGCAATATCTATTACGGCCTCTTAGAAGAAAAAAAAAACGTGCATCTTTTTAATGATATTTATTAAATTAAATTACCTGATATTCATATCTTAGACAGAGTTAGCGAGCGATGTAATAGGCTACGTCTTTCTTGTCGATTTTCCCCACTTTAACTTCATGAGATAGTGGGATTTGAACCGTTTCTTCCAACTCGTCAAGAAATTAAAAATTGATCTTTTGGTTATTAGTTGACAATGGAAAAAGAATATTATTTAAAAAAAAAAAAAAGACAGAGGAATCTTTTGACTTTCCACACTATTTTATGGATGAGACGTTCAAGGGCAGAAAATGTGTATTAAGATCGATTGTGATGTGATGATTGAGTTTTCTTTATTTTTAATTAAAAAAATTTATTTTGATAGAAAATGAAAAAAATAAATTATCGAGAGTGTCGCCTTCAGAGTTGGACCCTATAATACACAAATATAAATTTATCTAAAACTCAATACAAATATTAAAAATCGAGTGAGAAACTTAAAAAAAATAAAAATAGGAGAAAATGTGTTTTAACTTTTGACAATTCATTCATGTGATACGTTATACTATAGTATAGTTATCAACTTATTATTATTACTAGTTACTACAACATACTATAGTTTTTGCTTTGTCTCACCTTTCGAAATTTTCAACATCTTCTAAAGCAATTCAAATACCCAACAAGAAAAAGGGAGTTTTAATATTGCACTTTTGCACAACAATATAAAATAATTTCACAAATATTCGGTATATTGACATACAATACAAACATTTTTTCTATCGAGAATCAATGAAAAAATTGTGTTACATAGGCTTTTACATATAATTAGTCATATTACAATTTCCATTTTATTTGTTAATTACCAAAATACTCTATACCTAGCATATTTCAATTATTTCCCATTACTTGCGTTTAGTTTTTCCGATTATGTTCATGATTCCAATAATTTTTTTATTCTTTTCTAAAAAAAGTCTACTACGTTTTATTATATATGTTTCGATAAAATTGACAAGGAATCTTTGTATGAGTTCATTATATACGTTTGCTATATATATATATATACCTAACATGGAAC